TGGAACACTTTTGATGTTGGATCTCTGTTGGTTTATTTCTCCAATGTGTAGGAATCGTAGGAAAGGTGGAAATTCTTCTGATGTTCCTCTTTGCAACGAGGGGAAAAAATCACCTGAAATGGTTAGGATGAAGCACTCTGATATATCATATCACCAGACGGTTCCTCGAAATGAGAATGGGACTACTCATCTTACTCAGGTCCTCACTATGCCTGGTCCTAGTCCGACTCAAGCGGTTGATAATACGAGTTTGTTGCAGAAGATTGAAAGTAAAACTCCTATTCCAACAGTTGAGAAGAAGCTGCCATGTAGCGAGGGTCATGAGGAAGTCAAGGCTTCTAGAAAGCGGGGTTCTAAAACTGAGGTCGATTTCGAGAACAGTTTTGCTCGAAATGGATGCAGTACGCGTGATAACTCCACGTGCAAGACCGATTCTAATGGTGGACATCAGGATGTGAAACCACCTTTAAGCACCGATTCTAATGCTGGACATCGGGATGTGAAACCACTTTCAAGCGTGCATCCTACATTGGATGGTGAAAATGGAGCTTCTGAAAGATTATCAGGTTTAGATTCTGGGCCTTCAGAAATGTTTCAAACTGAAGATGCTGATTCTCCAAGTTCACCTCCATACTTCGATGCTGAAACAGATGCAAATTCGGCTGCCGCTGAGTCTTCTGCAGCACTGAAAAAGGCTATAGATGAGGCACAAATAAGAATGAATATTGCAAAACAAATGATGGATAGGAAAAAGTCAGGCTTTCGCAGTTGTGCAAAACTGAAATCTTGTGATGACCCTAAAATTGAGAATAAAGGGAACACAAAGGTTGAAGGAATTACAGAAGAAAGCAGAGACAACAATTCCCAGATTCTCGGTGAAATGGTGAAATCTTCTGAACAATCATTTTCTAACGAGGGAGATCAGCATGCTAAAAGAGCGCGGAAGCTGTGGGGAGTTCCTGAAGGACTTTTAAAATCAACTTCAGACCATAAGCCAGAAGAGTTAGACGAGCAAGATGTGATAAAGCAAGAAGAGGAACAAGCAAGAAGAGGTCGAAAACACTGGGAATTACCCGGAGGGATATTCAGATCAGTTATGAATAGTAAGCAGCAAGAGCCAGAAAACCTTGCACCAGCCAAACCTGAAACTGATACGAAACAAGAGGTGCAACCATTAACTGAGAATCCCTTCTATACATTCGGACAGCTTGGCAGTAAAATAAAGTGTGTTGTTGTAGAAGCCTTCACGGGGAGCAAGGTTTCACAAAAAGATGAGAAACAGGTTACAGAGAAGGAAAATTCTACCCTCACTCAAATGGTTCAAGGTGAGGAAAGTGACTCAAAAGAGATGCTAGCTGGTATTCCAGTCATGGAAACATATTTAAGGGAAGTGGAAGAGACCCCGCAACAAACTGAGAGTAAGAGCGAAATTAATATTGAAGAGAAGTCTGAATCTACAATATGTACTTTCACAGAAGGATCTTCTCAGAGTATGGAGAAAGAAACAGGATGTCAAGTTAAAAGTGCTTGTGAGTCTGAAGGTGGATCTGGCGTAAAAGATTTCCAAGAAAATTCTGACCAAACTTGCAATGTTCTAGATCAGGAAAGTGAGAAGGAGATAGTCTCTGAGCCACAAGAGATGTTAGTTGGTCCTGATGATACCAAAACGTATGTAAGGGAAGTGGAAGAAATCCCAACACCGAGTTTGAATAAAACTCAGTCCGATGATAGTGTTGGAGCTATGGTGTCTTTTAACAGAGAAAATAATTCTGAGCCAGGAAACGTAGATGAGGTGCAAGAGACAGTGCACAAGGTTCCCAGGCGAAGAAGAGTTTGGAAGACCTCTGAAGACGTCTATAATATGATAAAGGCCCCGAAGGGAAACAACAGGCCCTGGCAGCTAGAAAGTGCGGAAAATGAAACCACAGCGATGTCCTTTCATGAGGAAGGTGTAACGATCCATCACGCTAGCGAGGAAACAGAAAGCACATCTGGACAAGCGAGTGATTCAGGATTGCAAGAAAATTGGACCGTTCTTAAACAGATGTTTAGGCAGATGTTTCAGACAGCGGATACTAAGGGAGAGGATGAAACTTACTGCTTAGTGGAATCTGAAAAGGGGCGTCTTGATATCCATCAAAAAGCTCAAGAGAAATATGAACAGGATGAGGTGGAGACAGTAAGAACGAATTATGAAGACTATGCACATACCAGAGAAAATGAAGACTTGGAATCGGTACAAGAAACATATTGTAGAAAAGAGGATGGTAAGGTAGAAGTGCAAGGTAAAACGTCTTTGGTCCGTGAACTGATAGGAGAAGAGCTAGAAATGGCTAGCCTAGAAGAGGAAGATGTGCAGGAAGAATCTGAAGAAGCTGGCTGGGTTCAAGGACTTTCTGAACTTAATGAGATAAAGGAGCATGCAGATTCTCATGCTGAAATGCTTGAATACGATCAAAGTGAAACAGATTCAAATAATTCTGGGGAGAGATTTGAGCAAACACAGGAACAAGCAGAAGAAACTAAGATCGATGGTAGTATAGATACTGACACCAGCAGGTCATCTTTTGAAATGAGACAAGGTGATTCATACATTGAGGAGGTTGGCATTGAGCAAGATCTCAGTGATCAATTCCCTGAAAAAGCCAGTGCTGTCAGTAGCACGGAAGAAAACATTGAAGAAATAGATTCTGATTCGATTCAAAGTGGTTGGAGTGTTGTAGAGGATGACGACAGATCACTGCAGGATGGAGGGACAAGTCAGGCAGAAAGTAAGCCTGACGAATTGGAGGAAACCAAAGAAGAAAGTGCTGAAATGAAAACAAGTCTTGGTGTAGAGAGAAATGGAGATAAGACAGAACTAGAGCACCGGTTTGAGTGTCAAGAGAATGAAACAGATAGAAGCAATGTGGAGGCAGCAGAGACAGTTGAGGAACATCTGAAAAAGAAAGATAAAACAAGGGAGAAAGAGAGATTTATGGTAGAAAGAGCTATTCGTGAAGCCCGCGAAAGGGCATTTGCGGATGCTAGGGAAAGAGCAGGAAAAATGAAAGAAAATGAGGGAGAGGAGAGTTGTCGATCATCTATGGAAGAAGAGGGAGATGCTACTTCTGATATTGGCGCAGCAACAGATGGAAACATGAAAGAAAATGAAGGAGAGGAGAGTTGTCGATCATCTATGGAAGAAGAGGGAGATGCTACTTCTGATATTTCACAAAACAAAGCAGAGACAGTTGAGGAACATCTGAAAAAGAAAGATCAAACAAGGGAGAAAGAGAAAGAAAGAGAGAAAGAGAGATTTATGGTAGAAAGAGCCATTCGTGAAGCGCGTGAAAGGGCATTTGCTGATGCTAGGGAAAGAGCAGGAAAAGCTGCAATGGAGAAGGCAAAGGCAGGAGCCCACCGTAAAGGGACTTCTGAGGTTCCAAGGAGATCAGAGAAGGGATCTGTTGAGGTAAATGATAAGTTATCATCAGCTGAGAAAGCTTCAATGCAAGCCAAACTCAGAGCAGAGCGTGCTGCTGTAGAAAGAGCACTCACTGAGGCCAGAGAACGTGCCATGGAAAAAGCATTGTCTGGTAAGTCTGCTGCTTCTCAAACAAAGAGTTATGGCGGCAGCAAGTCATTTAGCTCTTCTGGTGAAAGACGAGGCTCCTCATCTTCTGTAAGTTTCAACCCCCTGTTTTCTTGTGTGTATTCTCCTTTTAACAGCTCTCATGTAATATTGTGATCCATGAAATCCTTTAGCAGGGTACGGAGAACAAAAGTTCAGGTCCTTCCAATTCTTCAAACCAGACTGGTATGTCTCTGTAGATATATATAATATTATATATTATCGTATCCAAGTTTTTGACCTATACATTTGATTTTGCGTGATGAAGCCAAAGGAGAGCCAATCCAGAGATGTAAAGCTAGATCTGAGAGACACCAGAGAACATCTGACCGCGCGGTATGTACACCATCTGTTCATTTGTATCTTATATAATACTATTTTCTCTGCTTAAAACATATTGTTTGTTTGATGTCATAATTCCAGGCAGAGGCTCTTGCAGAGAAGAAACTTCGTGATCTTAAAGCCCAGAAAGAGCAGACAGAGAGAAATGTACTCACATAGACAATACTCATTAGCATCCGAAAATTCTCATAAATAACATCTTTGAATTTAGTTATACTAAACCGCCTTTTTTCTCTGATTGAAATTGCAGAGACTCGCGGAAGCTCTTGATGCTGATGTCAAACGGTGGTCGAGTGGAAAGGAAAACAACTTGCGGGCGTTGCTCTCAACACTCCAATATGTAATTTGTTTTCCCCGTTTGTCCATAGCTCTTAACTCTTTTAATGGATCAGAGGATCAGTCTAAACAACTGTTCTGTGAATTGCAGATACTTGGAGGAGAGAGTGGATGGAAACCGATTCCTCTCACTGATCTTGTCTCAAGTGCTTCTGTGAGAAAAGCCTACCGAAAGGCAACTCTTTACGTTCATCCTGACAAGCTTCAACAACGTGGCGCATCAACACAGCAGAAGTACATTTGTGAGAAAGTTTTTGACCTTCTCAAGGTTTGTCTCTAACCCCTCAGTATAAAATCAATTCCATCTGCAAATCAGTAACCAGCTTCTTTCTGATTCTCTAGGAAGCATGGAACAAATTTGGTGCTGACGAACGATAAGTAAGATGGTGTGAAATTTTGGATCTTCCTTTACCCTATTATCAGAAGTCACCCTGCAAATTAGAACCAAGCAGCCTAAGAACCTAAGTTAACAAGTACAAGTACAGGATCAAGCTATGGTATGGGATGAAGACAGATCTAGAGATGTAATAACCAGTTATAGATATTTATATCCAGGGGTCATATATATAAAAGAAGCTCATTCATATTCCCACAGCTAAACCAGCCACAAATATTATTCAATCAATAAAAAAAATACCAGTATACCTGATGAGCAAATACACCAGCATAAATTATTACAAAATCCAAAAAAAGATATCACTTGTGCTGAGACACACGTACAACTTTATTTCTCACTTTTAAAAAAAAAAAATCATTTAAGTCCTTCATGAGTTATAAGCTTGAGAGCTTCTCCATCATGCAATTTCATAGTGATTCTTAGTTGTCTTAGTCCTTTGTAGCTGATAGGCTTGTATAACCGCGGGTGTTCAACATCCACAAACGCACTTGGAACTTCAAGATCTGTATCCATTGGTCCTAATAAGAAGGACGCAATAGAAATCCTCGTTGTTGCTTCTTTGCATTGCACTCTATGTTTCACATTGCACAACCTCCCATTGCTCCATATTGTAGCTGAGTCTCCAAGGTTGATAGCAAGCGTGTTTGGCAACGGGTTGATGGGAAAGAACGTTCCTGAAGAATTATCCATGACTTCAAGTCCACCAACATTTTCATCATCTTGAAGAATCGTCAAGAACCCGGTATCCGTGTGTAATTGTACACCGGGCTTCCCTACTGTTTCAGGTTTAAAATGATACTTGTTAATCCGAAATAGGCTCGGGCATCCACTGAAATAGTCTGTCTCAACAAGCCCGTAACTCTCTACTAATCTCCTTGCTAAATCTTTTGCAAGTCCATCAATAGCTTTCGCATACTCCAACATAGTTTCCCTTCAAATCCAAAATCCATCAAGACATGAAATAGAAAAACAAATCCCAAATAATTAAAAAAAGAACAGAAAGAATGAAAAATAAAATAAAAACCTTTGATTTGAAGAAGCGTCGAGTTGGTCACAAAATGTATTGACAGCTTGAGGAGAAACTATGTCATATAGACCCAATGTTTCATAATAAGGATTGATTTTACTTGGAGCCATGTAACCACTTTCTGGTAGCACATGAGTGTTACGCATTTTCACCTCGTATGGACGTTCAAAGAGATCTATGACAGTCAGAGACAAAGTAACTCCATGGTTAATCACCCTGAAACATCCCTATCTCTCACCCGCTTCACGGATTTTCTGATTCAAGATCTTATCAGAAACCTCTTTCAAATCTATCGTCGGAATGATCCCACCAAGTTCCACCATTAAGATCTTTCTCCGAGCTCTTCTTGGTAGGAGGAAAGATGGTGGTTATCCCTACTTTCAACACAATCATTGTCTAATGTTATAAAGAAAAAATATCCTCCAAGAGACTTCCTACTCACCAAAGTCATTATATGTCTCTTATCATTAATCAAATCATTTAAGTAGAGTTGACTTCGAAAAAATTCGTTTAATGTGAGATGGCAAAGTTAAAAATGAAGACCTGATCCAATTGAGACAGGCTAATGAGCTTAAACAAACACCCACAGGGGAAAGAAATTGAAGAAACTGCTGTACAATGATGAAGACAGATCGAGAGATGTTAACCAATATAAATATTGATTTATAGCTCATTCATATTCCCAGCTGAATCAGCCACAAATATTATTCAATATTCATCAAGGTTTCTCAAACTAAGGTTAATAAATACTAGTACATTATTAAGTCGAAGAGTACACCAGCAAACCGCATGAGACAGCTAAGATAACAAAGGGGTTTAAAAGCCGAGCAAATGAAGCATTATTGCATTTTGGGCATGCATGCGATTCTCAGCCTGTGGAAAGACAATGGAATAAGGAGCCTCCACGACTCCATTAGTCACCTCCACTCCTCTTTCTGCAGGCAAACAATGCATGAAATAGGCTTTTGGACCCGCCAACTTCATAAGAGCTTCATCCACCTGCAATTGAACATAACATGTAAGTGTGAAGCCGTGAACTTTTTAATAAGAGTACCGAGCATTGTACCAAACTAAGCCAGATAAGACTTATGTTACCTGGAATCCTTGGAATGCTTTACGGCGAGCTTCGGCTTCATCCTTTTGCCCCATACTGGCCCATACGTCTGAGTACACAACATCAGCTCCAATAACAGCTTCTTTAGGATCATTGGTGATTTCTATCTTACTTAATCCAGCTTGCTTTGCCTTTGAAACTCTTTCTTTGTCTGGTTCATACCCTTTTGGGCAAGCGCAGACAAAATGGAAAGGAATAACGGAGGCCAATTCTAACCAAGAGTGTACCATGTTGTTTCCATCTCCAACATACACAACCTGAAGTTTGTTTAATCGGTGTTAGTCTAGATAACACTTTTTTATGAGCTTACATTACATGTATGCAAAACATAGAATAATGAGATCATTATAGAAGCTGTGCTTTAAAAAATTGAGTGTTGAGATTTCATGCACTAATCTTGGTTTTGTATCAGTTTCCTTCATCCATTAAGTGAGGTAGATGTGGGTTTGAGTAACTTGCATCTACATATGAGGAGGAACATAGATAATAGCAAGCAGCGGGTGAAATGGTTAACTAACCTTTGTCCCTTCGACTTGACCAATGTGCTCGATCATTGTGAGGGCATCAGCCATGATTTGGCAAGGATGATTATGATCAGTCAGACCATTGACAACTGGTACACTTGAGTAGTTAGCCAAATCAAGAATGTCCTGCAAATGAAGAGGATTCAAGTTTGGTCATTCATCTTTCTGAAATTGGAAAGACGTGCAAACTTAATCATAGAAATCAGTTGAAAAACACACATGAGAATGCAGTTATCTTTTTGAGAATAGAACAAGCCATAAAAATGTTTGTACATTTCCAGTGTTCCTTTATTAATCAATCAAAAACTCACCAGCATACCTGATGAGCAAATACACGAGCCATAATGATGTCATTATAGCGTGACAGAACACGAGCAACATCACGAGTTTCCTCCCGCTTACCCATCTGAATGTCATTGGGTCCTAGATATAACGCATGGCCACCAAGCAAGAAAAAACCAGTCTCAAACGAAACCCGAGTCCTCATGGAGGGTTTAGCAAAGATCATAGACATAGACTTCCCTTTAAAAGGTAGATAATTTCTCTCCCCTGATTTAAGCAAGGCCTTAACCTCTGAAGCCTTGTCTAAAATCTTTTTTATGGTCGCTGTATCAAAATCATCTATGGCCAGAAAGTCTTTCAGGTCAGACTTTCCTGCAAAACAACAAGCAAAATAGGGTTTTAGTTAATAGTTTTGACTTGAGACTACAAGAAGATAAAGTTTTATCAGATGATCAAGACTATCAAAAATGAATCGGATGACTAATCATTAGAGAAGATATATGAGCTTAATCCAAATAAGGAACCGCAAAGATTAATCTCACAATCCTATGGAAATGACTGAAAGCAGTAAAAGTATCAAACTTGCGTAGTTTCTGAATCAATAGTGGCAATACTGAGCCACATTTTCTCATTTTCGTTTGCTAAAATCAAAATCCGAATACCAATATGCAAATTATCCTCAGAAAAAGAAAGGATTGATGCAAGAAGGAATTTCATAAACATATTCTCATCCTTGGGGAAATTTCCGAAACAATGAAATGGAACCCTAAAGCCCAAACCTTTGGCATCGGAAGTAGAAGAAGGCGAAGTGACGGAGGAGGCTTGACAAGAAACACGAAGGCGAGGTAGGGCCGGAGAAGGGAGTGAAACGGCGGAGAATCTCCGAAGAGTAGTACCAGGGAAGAAGGAGGATGACGAAGAAGAGAAGGAAAGAGCCGGTGATCGAGCCGTCGAAACATGAGAAGCCATTGCAGCCGCCATCGTCTTAATTCAGAGTTGTTGACTGACTCTGTGAGTGACACTGCGCTTTACCTTATAAGAGAGACCCCGATGGCATTTCTGTTATTGGGCCTTGTAGAGGCCCATTTTCATTTCGATTTATTTATTTTTAACCTGCCCTAATTTGAGCGACCATCTTCTTCGAGCTTGTTCCGATGAAGACGGTCACCGGAAGAGTTAACAGTGCAAAGCCAGTCTCTTTATCTAAGGCGGCGACGCTTCTCTCCGGATTCGTTTCCTCCGAGAATGGAGCCTCTCAAGATGTTAGCGCGTACCTCCGACGAGCCTCCGGTGCCTTCACCGAATTAAAGAGTATCCACAGGGAGACGAAGCTAAGCTCCAAGAAGAAGAGGAAGAAGAGCAAGAAAAAGAGAAAATCCAACGAGATTTAATGAAATTTTGTGGTGGAATTAAGATAGCTTTCAAATTTCAAATTAAGATAGATTTAATGTTCAGTTGGTGAGAAAGATTTGATTTTTAGAATTCTCTTGTTATAGTTTTCTGTTATCTGCATTGAAATAATTGTTGAAAAAACAAAGTTCAAACTTTGCATTTCGTGTCGTGGAGACATTGCATTGGTGGAACTAATGGTCAACTTGTATTTGCCACAAATCTGTTTGTGATCATAAAATCATTCACAAATGTTAGTGACAAAAAAACAACTTTTCTGCGCCAATTTGAGAAATCAGCCTATACGTAATTGTTTCAACGACTCTTTTCATATTGTTAAACAAAGGCATCAGGCGGCGCTTGCTCCGGGATCTGCACACCAAAAATAATCTTAAGATTATAGTTTTGGCAATCAAATTTTGTAATCAACTTAAAGACTAGTTTTGAACAATTTACCTCCCCTGGATTCCATTTCTCCTTTAACCAGATGCTACTATCAACAGGATCACCTATTTGCAGCTCGGTTCTGCCGCAAATGATTCAAGTTAGAAACATCATAGTATGTTTTGACGATCTATTTGTCACATGTTCAACAACGGTTTTTCGTTGTGGAAATAGAATGAGGACTTACCCGGAAGATGTATTTGTTGTGTCTACAGCAGGAGCAGTGAAAGATGCAACAGGGACATTGAAGTTGAATGCGGCCTGAATGTTCTGGGAAGTGTTGGGAGCCGGCGTTGGAGTTGATGGACCAAAGATGTTATTGTTTTGTGGAGTTGTGGCGAGTCCAGGTCCAGGTCCAAATGATGCTGGTTTGAATGTTGTTGATGGATGGGTTTGGAAACCAGAGGGACCTGTGATCATTTTGCAAAAGAGGTTTTAGATGATGTGGAGTCTTGGCCTCTGAGCAAAGTTTAACTTTAGAAGTAGTACCTGAAGGAACAGGTTGAGGAGTGTTGACGCTGAAAGCATTTGGTTGTTTATTAAAGCTTGCAAAGGCATTTGGAGGTCCTGATGAACTATTTCAAGGAACAATGGGAACCGAGAGTTACTTTATGAAGGCAACAGAAACTTATTGGCATATGAAAAAATGGAGAAAGCCAACAAAAGTTGATACCTGAGACCACCAGCATTGGTATTGGGGAATGCAGTTTGTTGATTATTCGATTGTGGAGTAAAGCTTGCAAAGGGATTCGGAGGTCCAGATGAACTATGCAGATGAATAGTTGGCCAAAGAGGAAAATGGAAACCAAGAGTTTATAAACGTAACACAAACTTGTAGGAATATGGAATATGGAGAAAGCCCACAAAAGTTGGTACCTGACTCCACCAGCATTGGTATTGGGGAAGGTAGTTTGTTGATTATTTGATTGTTGATTGAAGCTTGCAAAGGCATTCGGAGGTCCAGATGAACTATGTCGAGGAACAATGGAAACCAAGAGTTAGTTAGTTTATGAAGGCAACACAACCTTACTGGAATATGAAAAATGGAGAAAGCCCACAAAAGTTAATACCTGAGTCCACCAGCATTGGTATTGGTGAATGCAGTTTGTTGATTAAAGCCAGAGAATCCTGGAGGAGAGGAATTGATCTGACCAGTCGGTGGGAAGATACTAGGAGTGGTTGCAGCAAACGGGCTTTGATTGGCGGTAACAGAGCCTTTGTATGGATTCCGCAGAAAGTTTTCAAACTCAGCTATTTTGGAGTTTTGCAGATTCCTCTCCCTCTCAACCTATATAATGCACCATTATAAGCCAGGAAAAGAGGAAATCAACCTATGTCTTATGAGTATGAAATGAAAACTAGTGTAAAGTATAACAAACAGAAGAAAGGTTTATCTCACAATCGACTGTAGAGGTATCCCTCGTTTAGCTTCTTCGTATGCCATTGCACGTAGCTCTTCATAGCTGATATCACCCGTAACATCACATGGAAAACTAGAAAAAAAAAAATAAGATAGAGAAGATTAGAAACGTTATAAAGAATGGGTAAAGATCAAGGATGGTGGACCAAATGAAGTAATACATACTATTTCCAGTGGCCGTAGCACGTGAGCTTCCACATGGGTCTCTCATTCTTAAAATCGTCTTGCATTACCCGCTTACACGCAGCAGGATCTGTGCATCTTTGCATAGTTACCAAGATAAAAACAGTTAAGAAACAAACGGTAAAAGGATGATATATAGAGAACAAGAATATATGCAAATATATATACTCACTTATGGTCTGCCGGCTGCGTCTGTTTACCAGTCTGCTGCGCAGCAGCAGCACCACCCCCACCAGTAGGTGTAGAAGCCGTTCTTGACCATGTATTCTCAAAAGGCTGAGTTTGCAAAAGCATCATCATGTCACCATTCATTCAACAGGCAAAATGCTTTCTTTTCTTCAAGAAGAGGCACCATTTACTCATCCAAAAGCCGAACGATAACTTGCATTCTATCAAACCAAATACTTGCAGCTTAAAAGAAGAAAAACCAATAGAACCTGAAATTGATTCGGTCTGCTGGAACCACCACCTTGTACACCAAATCCAAAAGGGTTCGAACTATTCTGTTGCTGCTGTTGTTGTTGTTGTGGCTGTTGTTGTGTACCAAAGCCAAATGGATTATTAGGCTTAGCTTGTTGTGGATGAAGAAATCTACAATTCTCCCCATACCTACAACTGCAAAAACAACACAAAGGACGATGAATCCAATAACTAGATCTCTAAGCTTCTACTAACACTAATCATAACTTCAGAAGCAAATAATGGCGAAGATTAGGAGCGATCAAAGTCAATTAACTGTTTGATACATATAGATTTCAGCTCAATAGACATCGTTTTCTACTCATTACTACCTTCGCACATCGATTGTTTACAAATTAAACCCAGAATATAGAACACGAAACCTAAATTTCTGCAATCGAAACGAAGTTCAAAAACTCTTAGAAAACAACACACAAGCAACAAATTGAGTCAAAACAAACCTAGAACAGATGAAGAAGATGATGAAGAGAGAATTTTACCTGCCACGCTGAAAATTTCTGCACAGTTCCTTCCTCATACTCAGCTGCTAAAACCTTCAACTGTGTACGTATGTATTACTAGTATATATGCGTATATGTAATTTTGCTTCTGGAGAAAAAATGAAGCGTTAGATTGACGAAGGAGGAGGTCTTTGTGTAAATTACCTTTTTACCCTAACATAACTTTGAAGTAAATAGGGGTATAAACGTAAATTAACCAAAAACTTCGTCATCCTCGTTCTCTTATCCATCGTTACTTCGTTTCTTCACCAGGAAAATATAGAAGAAGATAGCTGCTGAAGGCGAAAAATGGCGGTTTCTCTCCCGAACTCGTTTCTTCAGATTAACCCATGTGTTCCTTCTCTGGAATTGAGAAAGGTAAGCTCGAAATCGATCTCTCATTCCTCCTTCCCCAAAATCACTAAATTTGTGTTTGGGGTCTATTTTTTTCCAAATTAGCCGGTTATGGCGGCAGTGAAAGGAGGAAAACAATCGGCGAGAAGAAGCAGCAATACGGTGGTTCAAATAACGTGTCGTAAGAAGGATTTGCATCCAGAATTCCACGAAGACGCGAAGGTATACTGCAATGGAGAACTGGTGATGACGACGGGAGGAACAAAGAAAGAGTATGTGGTTGATGTTTGGTCAGGTAACCATCCGTTTTACCTCGGGAATCGTTCGGCTTTGATGGTTGATGCTGATCAAGTGGAGAAGTTTCGTAAGAGGTTCGCTGGGCTTTCGGAGATTATGGAGATTCCAGTGCTTAAAGGAGAAATTGTTATGCCTACTAAGAAAAGTAAAGGTCCTGGCAAAGGGAAGAAGAAATGATGAGCCAGAGTTTGTGTTTTTCTGGTAAAAACTTATGCCTTTGAATTTGTTGTCTTTTCTATTGAAATCGAGATACCGCTTAGGCTGTTAAAAAATTGTTAATTTTCTTTTGAATGCAAGTGATTATGCTTTTCTTTAAAATCTATTTGTTGCATTGAGAGTGAGACTGAGAAATTGGAATTTGGTTCTCTCTATGTGATCACTAATCTTGAATTTGAAGTAGTAGAAAGCTGAAGGGCAAAGTTTTGATGGATAATAGATACACTGGTGAGAGAAACATAGTAACAATGATCCATTGATTCTTTTGTTTCTTGTGGTTACAATGCGTATGGAATAGTTCTTGCAAATGAAAGGAAGTTATGGAAAGTTATGTCATGAACTTAATGACTATTGTAAGTAGTTGTTGTTGATGTGTAAGTAGTTGTGTTGATTAGTTGATTGAGATCTTTTTTACATAGATTTATAGCATGTTGAACATGATGATCATGGTCTATGCAAGTGTCTGCTCAAGTTATCAGGCAGAACATCTGTCTTACAGTGACAGTGGCGTAGTAATAGTGAGCAGTAAGCACAATCTTGAACTGTGGCCATACCGTATGAGTAGGGGGTTTGATTGAGAACAAAAAAAAGACATAAATTTTGCGCAACTCTTAATGGGTGCCTCTGTGGTCATGGCCAATACTACTGTACTTGTGTGACCATTATTTGAAGAGAAGCAGAAGACTCTTAAAGTTTCAAAGGTTTTGCTTTTCGAAGACAGTGGAATTTGTGGGCCATTTAAAGCCCATTTCTACTCAGCTGGAGTCTTCTACTTCTTTACCAAAGACTTTGAAGTTTAAAAGTGGGCTTTTTAATCCGTTAGTATTAAGAACTGTGTGAAGGTAAGAAGTGGCCCAATTAACTGTACAATAAAATTGTGTGTTTTAAAAAATTATTTTGGATTAAACTACTTAAAATATCTTAAAGCTCGAGAAGGTGTTTGAGGATAAACTAATGGTCTCCTGTTTCCTAGCATAAGAATGATGAAAGACGCTGTGTTGGGTTAGTTAAACTAGTATGTCTAATTAGTTTGTTGATTATGTTGGAATAATACAATTTGTTGGATTAAATAGATTTTAATTTTGCTGGGACAGTGGGACAATACAATTGTTCGTTGCCTTTATTTGTCGAAAATAATGCATTCGTTTGTTTGTTCGGGGACAGTATTCTGCTCTGTTAATATTGCCAAATCAGTCTTATAAACATTACTACTAGCTCCCTCAATTTTATAATACTTATGAATTAAGCTAGCAACTTAATAATACTATTTGCATATATACCCCCTAAGTGTAAGAGAAGTTCTCTTAGTGCACGTGACTCAACTTTGATCTCACGTGGTTCTCGACCATTTGCCTGTTAATGTATTCTTTTGTTCTGGATCCATGAACCTCGTAAATGTGTGGATAAGTCTGTTCTTCTTTTACTTTGACGGTGCGTGACTTTCACGTGTCTTCTTGAAAGACTATTGGGCTTCTCATGGACTACCTAAGATAATTCCATTATCCATGTATGTAAATCAACTTATCTTCAATTATGCAATTCGAAGAATATTTCATTATAGATTGCATCGTTAAATTATAGTAAGTTGAAATATATTCGGTATATACTATAGCAAATTCAGTATCTTTAAGTGGATCAGTCACTTTATCTTCGTTCAACTTTCTATATACTGAAAATATTGTTCTGATAGCATAATTAATTAGTTATGGCAATTAGTAAACAAACTAATCATTGTTATCATAGACAGGGAGACAAAACATTTTTAAGATAAAAGTATTCTTTAGGTTCTTTTCTAAATTTTAATACTGTACTAAAGAAAACCAAAAAACAATTACACTTTATATTGTGCTATTATTATTGGTTGGGTGTCCACATAATTATATTTAAAAAAGCCAAACAATAATAAAATAAAATTACCTATCAAAAGGCAAAAAGAGTCATTAAATTTTAACTTATTGAGGACATATAAAAAGACCAGTGCTGTGATCGTATTTCCGTATCAGTGTGTCAGTGTATCTCGCATTTTCTCCAATCAAATATTTTCTCTCATTTAACAAATGAAATCACAAAATCGCTTCACTTTCCCGATTCAATTTTCCCGGAAAATATCACTTTCCCGTTTCATTTTCCCAGAATAAATCAAAATCTCCATCGTAATTAATTTCTCAGACCTTATATTAACATCAAAGCAAGCATTTATACTGTCTCTGTTTCAATTTCACAGAAAAAAAGACAAAAAAAAAGGATGGTGAAGCCGTTCGAATTCCATGGCGTGGAGGCGGAGAAAGCGGAAGCAATGAGGAGATACAACAACCGTAGAAGCTTCAGGAACATTCTACGTTTAGCCGCCGTAGCTTCGTTGTGTTACTTATGGTTCCCGACGGTGGCGATTTCACTACAAACTGCCGGCGACTGGTTTTACCGGACCGGAGCGGTTTTTATAACCGATCGTTCCGTCGTCTTCGTCTTCGCTAACCTAATCGTCGGTTTACTTTTCTTTCTCTCCGGCGAGAGCAATAACAAGAGTAGTAGTAGTAGTAATGTTGAACGAGAACCAGATCTCTACGATCAATACACCTCTTCTTCCTCCGCCGTAATCGTAACCGCCGACGACGAGAAAGTGGTGGAAGATGATGATGATGATTTGCATAAGCAAATCGTTCCGGCGTTTGACGCGGAGGTTGAGGAGGCGGTTACGACAAAAGGAATTTTTAGGAGGACGAAATCGGAGACATCCCGGCCGGTGATGGAGTATCGGAAAACAGAGTCGGAGAAAGTGGTTGAAGACGATGAATCGGAGAAGCAAATCGTTCCGGCGTTTATCCCGGAGGATGAGGAAGTGGTTTTGGATGAGGCTACTCGGGAGGTGGTTACATCACCGGGAATATATAGGAGGACGAAATCGGAGACGAAGAAAGAGATAATCCGGCCGGTGGTGAAGTATCGGAGAACAGAATCGGCGAAAGTGGTGGCGATAGATAGGCTGAGTAGTGAAGAGTTTCGTTTGAAGATAGAGAGTTTCATAATGGAGAAGAAGAGATCGCTTGTTCGGGAAAACGACGTCGTTCAATGTCAAGTTCTTGGATCTAGACATGGTCTCATTGGTAGTACTGGCTATGGCTCGTGCTAGGCCTAAAAAGCTTACTTGAATTGGAAGTAGAGAGAGGTAAAAAAAAAAAAGAGTAAAAACTCAAAAATGACTAAAGTTTGGTATTATTTTATTTTAGTTAATTTTAGGAGTGGTTTAAAATTAGGTGATGCTGGTGATTTTTTTTAATTAGCTGGCTTGATTTTCATCTTCGATGGTAATGTTTTTCTTTGGCACCACAATGAAATGAAATACGGAAATAGTAATTTTCTCTGTTTTGTAAATGTTTCAATCAAACAACTTTGACGCATCAACAAATACTTAAGTACTACCAAACAGAAACAGTAAAAAATCCGTTTGGACATTACAAGTACAAGCTTGTTCTCTAGAAAGAGATTTTGGCAAAAAAATTATCGTTGATATCATCTCTGCTAACTCAATCATAATCGGCCATTCTTTTAGTAGTTTCAAAGACATTCAAATTAGTTTTCAGTTGAAGCGATGAGATTTTACGGTGGCTCTCATAGAGACCCACAAAAATTCGATTGTACCATCGTGAATTGAAAGACTCAACCCAATCGACTACTATGTTGTTAATCACATCTTTTATGGAGTTAGCCTTGAATCAAGCTTAAATTTATAAATAGAGACATTTTTCATCATGACTCATTCATAAACATGAAGACCCCAAAAAAAAATGGAGAAAAAATATGATAATTGCGATAGGAGGCAAAGCAGAGACGGAAGTGAGAGAAAATGGTCACCACTGATATAAATACAAATGTACTTTGAATATCAAACAGTCTTCTAAATTTCCCCCAAAAGTATCAAATCTTTGCTTATGAAACCTAAATTTGGATATAAACATTGTTCTCTCTATAGGGGGTGGTGTATACGAAATTATCAACCTACTCATATACCAGAGTACCACACCACTTCTCGTTACTCGCATAACTCGAAGCTCTCTCTCTTCAGTCTTCACCAGCACACCTTCTTTTTCTGTTTTATTCAACAAAAATCACATATAAGAGTATTCCCTTAAAATATAAAAAAAAATATCACAAACTTATGGGTGGGTGAAAGAAATTAAATGATTTACCTTATGGTACTTCTCATCTTCTTCGCGGTCTATGTAAGCCAAAAGATCATCTTGTCTCATTAAAGCCTCATGTAAAGCCTGAATCATTGAAGAGTGTTGGAGTTGATATACAAATACAAATACAGTTGCTTTTCATATCAATTATGAAATAAATTTAACATGGAATTGAGAGATTTTGTTATACCTTTTTTGTAGCGATGAGCTCTGCTTCAAGTGCATCCACACGATAAACAGCTGTGTTAAGCAACTCCTCTTTCTCACGAGGCATCTCATGTCGCTTCGAGTGCAGTGTTTCTACCTGTTTCTCAAGATCTCCTAGTCTGTTCACAACAGAAGAAAACACATTTCTCTCTGCTGTAGTTGCAAAAGCCGGTGAAGGAGGACGAGACTCTCTAGCGTTTGGTCCGTCAACTGAAGATTCAGACTGGGAGTGTCCTTCACTCTGTGGCAGAGCCACAGATATGAGAAGCGTAAACAAGTTTACAAAGAACATCATTAGCCACCTCCAGATATAAGTAACCGATCCTATTTTGCTCAAATCGGGTGTATACTCTGAACCTGCACCAACATATTCCATTACAGTGAGACTTTACGTTGATCTGATTTCTTATTTACATATCACAGTATTAAGATTCCACTCTTTTACCTTTTGAAGCCTTTGGCTTTTCATGGGCCATCCAAGCAACATCCACAACTTTGTCCACCATTGGTGAATCATACTCTGATGAGTCAGTAGGATATGATATAGCATTGCCCCTAATCTGAAAGTAAGGTCAGGTAATAAGTAAAGTAGTCTGATGAGCATACTGTGATTTTCACTTTCGTACAAGAAAACTCTTACATCTTCACAAACAGGAGTCAGCTTGGGAACACGAATCTCTCTATTTACTTTTGGAGAAGCCATCTCTTCCACTTCAGACCCTGATTCTGCTGTCGAGGTGTCACTAACTTTTATCTGAGCCAAAGAGGACATTAGTGTTACAGTCAGATAGAAATTTTCAAAAAAAACAAGTTTCGCATCTAAGTCTAGAAGACTTTACCCCAGAAAAAGATGGCTTATCGCATGAAGACACACGGGAAAAACTGTTTAGAGCTGAATTATGCCTGCAGAGCGGTCCACCACTTTGAAGCATCTACAGGTGGGGGAGATCAGTTAGGTAACATTATTCTGTCTTGAGCTAATCTGATTAACCAAAACACAGTAAACAATAGGCTGTGGAAGATCGATTTTTACCTTTAATATCTCAGGGTCATTCCAGGGCCCTTTATCAGATCTCATACAACCACCTCGATCTGCACAGGTGCAAGTGCCACCAAGAAAATCTGGCAGCTGGCTGAAAAAAGTTCCAAATATGGTTAGGAAGTTATATCATATTTTGGAGTTTGGACTCATGTGAACCAAACAAGAGGCTTGAGAAGTCTATACCTTGCATCAATTATCTCCAGTAATTTGTTTTGGTACTTGTTACCAATGACCTATTACAACAACACATCGACAATAGTTAATACGATTAAAGATAATCTTTAAGATAACTTGTGGAAATGTGGATGGATATGCATAAAAAGGGTAAACCTACATGAATCTTCGTGACTGTTTTTGGATCAAGAAATTGTTTCACTGTGGCCCAAACTAGCTTAAAACCAGAACCACCATTGATGATGAACATACGATGAAGTGTCTGCATAAAGATGAAATGCTACCTCACATTATCTTTTACTAAACTAATTTGAAAACACAAATTTTTTTTTGGTAAAACGAAAACACACATTTTGTTACAAAATCAATAGCAGCCAGCTCATACCTCAGGGTAGTTATCATTATCAATCTTTTGCAGCTGGATAATGAGATCCCTCGCAGGCTTAGAGAAATTCTTGAACCCCTGCAAAACACAATTTAAACAATTCTTAAGTAATAATATGCAGGACATTAAACACTACACTAGGGAAAACTAACAGAATCTGGTTTTTGAAGTACCACGCCTTGGACGTCTAGAATTGTTGTACTAGAGTCAATGTGTCTCTTAGCAGCAATGCAGCAAGCTGGAAGCTTAATGTTGATAGTTTTCTCAAACTCTCGAACATGATACCTTATGAATCTTTCCGCCGTAGTGACTTGCATGAGCTTGGCCGGATCAACTTGTCCTAGTCTCTCAATGTAAACAGGTCTTCCTTCTTTGTCAACACCATGATAACCATGAGGGTAGTATTTCATAACTTCATCGAACTCTTCAAATTCAAAATCCTGTGAACACAAAATCAAACTCTCATCAGCAAAAAAACACAGCACATGATTTTGACACACCTATTGAGATTATAAAAAGAACATCTAAATCACCTCGAAAATGGTGTCAGTGCCAAAATCTTTTCTCCATTGAATCATATTACTCCACATCAACTTGGTTTTCCCAATATCAAATTTCCTAGCTTTCAAGAATCTAACAGAGAACAAGAACATGAGCATCATCATCATCATCATCATCATCATCAACAAAGCATCGAGAGAGACAAAAATCTGACCTCAACATAATGTGATAATCATCAAGTGTAGGAGGAAGCAAATTCTCAGAGACGAGTAAATTACGGAATTCATCAACAGCTCGCAATTCCTCAACATCGTGAATATCTTCAATGGTAAGAGAGAAAGTACGATCACTGCTTCTTCTCCTACTGCTACCTTTCTTCTTCAACGAATGTCTAAGTTTGCTTGAAGCTTTCGCAGCTTTCTTCTTGAAATTGAAATTCCCGATTCTTGTTTTCTTCTCATCCTCAGAAACTTCGAAATCTGATCTCCGTTCTCTTCTCTCATCATTGCTTGAACATCCTTCAAAACCTGAAACCAACAAAAAATCTCAACAAAAATTCCCAAAATCTAACATCTGCGATAAAACTCAGAGCCTATAGTTCTCAAACTCAATCTAACAAACCAGAATTGCGTGATTCGATAATCGAAGAAAGGGGATGATAAATTTACTCACAAGGCCTCGCGAATCGATCAAGAGAGCCAGACATGAGGAATCTCCAAGAGAAGAATCCGAGAATCGGGGAACTCGGAATCGCGCAGCCGAGAGAGAGAGAAGCGATTCTTCTCAGAGAGAAAATTGAAAGAGACGTAAGAGGGAGAAGTAAAGTGATGATGAAGATGGGGTTTTATAATAATAATTAGTCTTTCTTTAATTACGTTTTATGCGTTACAACGTAATTTGGACTAGATATGGTTTTTCATTAATTGTGGCCGGAAACACAACGGTATACGCAAACACCGTCGGTGATTTTTTTCCTTCTTTTAAAAACCAGTCTTTGGCTTGCTCTGTTTTCTTTCTAAATGTTTTCTGGTAAGTTAACTACTATTTTTGAGGTTTTTTATTTTAGTTTTTAACTAGGTGAGTTCCCGCGCGCGCTAAATACCGTTACTAAATACCGTTATAATTATTTCTTAATTATATAAATTACTTAATAATACACCATCGATCGATGTTATTATAAATTTAGTGACACGAATACTTACTAACTACGAGATAAAAGTTGTTTACCTAAACACATTCAAAATCTGAGATTTTTAAGTTTAGTGAGATGTTTTTTGTTGATTTCAAAAGTTTAGTGAGATGTTTAAATAAAACAAATGTTGGATTTGTAATATAAATTATAAAATAATAATTTTGTTATAAATTAGGCTTATTTTCTATACATATATGAGTTGCTTATGTACCGTTTAAAATCACTATTCATCTAGTCCAAATTAGGTTTATTTGCCAGATATATGACTTGTTTGTGTACCATTAGTTACATGATTTTTTTTTAAAAAAAAATCTCTTATTGATTGTAAGTATATTTTCCCTTATTTATTTTTTTGTCTTTTTTAATAACATTGACTATTTTATTTCCGCTTCATATCACGTATGTAAACAACATTCCTCAGGAATGGCTCTTTTGAGCTTTAATTAATTTTCCGATGACAAAAAAAAAAAAAAGACTATTTTATTTCCATATTGAGAGCCCAATTTTGACAAGTGGTTGTCAGTTTGTCACACTAGCTATTTGTCCTATGAAACGTATGTTGCGAGATATTTTATTTGAATGGATATGGTTTTTTTGCTTTTTATTTTAAAATTTTCCATTTATTATCAATTGACAATTCTTATTTATAAATGAAATTTAATTAAAACCATTTAGTACATGTATTCTTAAATGTCTTCGTAAGATCTTTTGAATAATAAAATTTAAAATAAAACATATTTGTAAATTAGTAAGTATATATAGAAATATTTTCCCTGAGAACATCATAAAAAAACATTCGGTCAGTCCTAGATGAAAAAAATTATCATGTTTTATTGTCAAGATTAGATTTAGAGACAGTGCATTTTGTACACTAACTAACAAAAAACAAAGACACTGCAGATATGTCGGCAAAGCCATCTTATTTGTCTTTTCTTCCAATTTTTTGTTAACCATATGCCACATTGCTTCTATGATAGAAAAAACAAACGACAGCAAGTAATAATAACAAGGGATAATATTTTTATATTTTCTAGACAGAAAAAAAAAGCACGAAAACAAGCAACGACGAACACAAGGGTAGACTTAAAATTAATTAGAGTGAGCTTAATTTGCATAATGTAATAAGTAATATGTACACATCACGCTACATACTTTATACATTTTTTTTTGTTTGGGAAATTGGTAAAGTGCAGAAGCATTTTTCGATCTCCATCATACAGAGACGACACTTCAGGCTTCTTCCTCCATTTTTGATTCCGACCAATGACTTCTTCTTAATTATGTACACAGCCAATAATTGTTGATCGACCTGTCCCAAGGAGAAACATAAGTATCGAGAAATGAACATGAGTTTTCGTTTATTTGTCCGTACCTCTCTCATGTGTATTTCCTCAGGTTACGTTTGGCCCGAAACTGACCAAGCTTGTCTCTCCACTCAGCTGCAAATCATATAACCAACAATGTATTGACCATTAGACCAAGGTTTAAGAAAACTAGAAACTTGCTGATACATAAATCAGTTTAGTCTCAAATGCTGAGCCACCAATTAGACAAGTAAGTTACGTTACCACTAATAAAATGTACATTGTGGATATAGAGAAAATCAGCTTACCAGCTTCATCATATCGCTCTTCATCAACAGCTTGCATCATTTTGCTCAAAATATTGAACTCTTTCGTATCAAGACAAGCCTGACCATTTGGTCTGCAACAAGGTAAAAACGAAGAGTTAAGTTTATGGCACTCAAATTCACAGTAAAAAGATGTGATCCGCAAAGATTGATCTTTAAGGTGTCTGAAAATTTACCGGTCTTGTTCAGTAAATAATAAACCATCTGAAGCTGGTGTCGGCGTTGATATCTTCCCTGACTCAATGACTCTCATTCCATCACTATATGCAAGGTACTTGTTCACTTGGATAGGTATCTACAAAAGGATCAACACAATTTTCAATCGCGAACACATATTTGTATTTATCTCAGATGATTAATTAACAGAGTTATGTAATACCTTGCATCTAACAGCGATATTGATTGCATCTGAAGGCCTAAGATCAAAGCTGACACACTCCGAGGCATTACCCACCTGCAATATCGTCACAAAAGAAGCCTTAATATAGGAAATGAGAAACTGAAAAGATTTAAGTTTCCATAGCTGAATGGAAGTTGTATAGAAGAGACCAGTTGCAGACCTTTGAAAGGTATAACTGGGCAAAATACGCCTCGTGAACTCTTTTGGTGACTCTAACAAGTCTAACCTGTAGAAGAGTTCAGAAAATTTCCATGAAACACTATGTTCACGAGAGAAGGAGATTTACATAAAGGAGGACAAACTGAAACCACAAAACATACTTCATAACCCATCTTGTCCACCATTTCCTTCACCACTTGATACATGGTGGGTCTTGCCTGCATAAGTAACCAAAAATCCATAAAATTACTCTTCACTCACTCTTTACTGATCCAAAACAAAACAACGAGTGATAAAAGCATACAATTTGGACATTGGTCATTGCTGCCATAAGTAACACACTAGGCATCTCCACTGCAATTATAAACAAAAAAACAAAATAAGACACTCAAAACATTGTGAGAGTGTAATAAAAACAACGCTTTGACATCATCAAAACTAAGGAACTACTTACACACGATAATGGGAAGGAGAAGACCAGTTCCATCTTCCATTTTCAACACAATAGCAGGGTGTGGAGCATAATCTGGTAAATGCCCTCCTTGAGGATTGTTATGGACACATCGTAGTTGCCTACCATCCCTCATCTTCACCATGAAACCATCTGCTCCACTTTTTACTTCAACTACAAACATCAAAAACACCCAAAAATACATCAACTTCGAAAATACTGAAAGAACTAAATCAAAACCAGACAAAAAAACTCTACTAATCCCACTAACTTACCAGCTTCCACTACACTAGAGTTAACATATTCCTCATCATTCTCATTAAAATTCTCTGCAGTGCTTCCATTACCATCAGAGTGAGAGCTGAAAACACACTTGATACTCTTGTCGCACAATCTAAGAGTGATTGTGGTAGTGCCCTGAGACTTGAAACCTTTTGTCCGATTACCCCAGAATTGTCTTCTAGGTTTCAGACCAGTGTAGTTAACAAGTGAAGCACATGCACCTACTTGTCTTGGACGAATTGCAGGACAAACAACTGGTGCTTGAAGTGATCTCATCTTTCTTTCCTTCAATACACAAAATCAAAACAGAGGATTTTTAGTACCAAAACATGGCGATTCTAGATCACTGATCCATACATCGAAACATTAGATTCCAAATATATTCCCAAAAAAGTCAAAACAATCAATGATCATCGAATTATACCACAGATGTTCACAAAATCTTTTGATAATGATGATTTTGATGATGATCAATAATTAGGAAGATCAAAAAACAGTTTTTGATTCACTTACGAGTTTAGTAAGCAACAATTGGAATCGGAATAGATCGTGAATGGTACAAACAGTCGCACGTAGATCGATCAAGAAGAAGATCGAAAAGCTCCGAAACAAGCCAAAGAGAGGAAAGGATCAATGGAAGAAGATAGAGATAGAGAGAGAGATTCTTCACTTGAGAGAGCTGAGAGATCAAAGGAGTGAAAGAATCTCTGTTACTTTATCGACCCAGTTTTTTCTTTAATTGTCGATTTTACCCTTTCACCCAATTTTGTTTCATTTTGCCTAATCATTTTAGTGATGAAATATAATATTTGGCCAATTTTTTCTTATGTAAACCAAAATGTTCCTAATTTTGTTTTATTTTTATTTTTTAAAAACAATATAAAAGCTAATATGATATTTTAGTTGTATATAATTAGAATTAAAAATACAAAAAAAATGCATCGATAGATATAACTCGTTAAAATAATTTTACTAAAAAACATATGATTTTGGTTTCATTTTAGGACACTGTCAATTACTTGTAATGTCAGCAAAGATCAACCAACAACTATGATAAATAATAATAATATTTAGTGATAGAAAATTGTAGGGAATTATTCATTTCTTCTTTTGGTTGACAAAATAATTCACTTTAAAAAGTGATTGGTGAAAAGGTTTTTGATTTCGTCGTTTCCTTGATTCATTCATTTTTTTTTTTTTTAAAGAAGAAATTAGGAAATTGTGATTTGGGAAGGGTGAAAAAGGGAATTCAATAATATAGCCGTGATGACGTGAGAACGAGAAATCGTAAGAGATCGACACGTCATCAATTAACGGCAGACGAAAAATAAATCGCCTAGATGGATGCCACGTGTACCTGCGCATTTGTAATCACAGATGGATTTGGATAAGGTAGTAGTAGAATTTATTAGAAACATGGACTCTCTTTTTTCTCTGTCTTTTTGTATTTTTCTCCATCTTCTAGATATACCTTTTGGTAATGTCTAAAGTAAAATTATATATGCCTTATATTCTCAACAAAAGATTAGTATATATTTAAATTTACATTTATATAATAAAGATCAAATAGTTGATCTTGAAAAAAAGAAAATAGTAAATAAAATATGAGTTTTAATTAATATTGTTTTTATCAAGTTATCATATAAAAAGATAGCAATA